ATACTACTCCAGTCTTCAGTCGGGATCAGAAAACCCTCCCAGGAGAGAAAGCAGGTGCCAGTCCCTGCTCTAAGTGGGCAGCAGATATTAACTCACTTGTTCCTCTGACAGCCTTCTAAGGAGGGACACGACCATCCCCACTTCAGGGAGGTGGCAACAGAGGCAAAGAGAGTCTAAGCAATTTGCCTGAGGTCACACGGGTAGTGAGGGGCAGGACTAGATGTCAGAGCCCAGGCAATCTGGCTCCAGAGGTCACGCCTTTAACCACTCCCAATATTGCCTTTTGGGCAGGACTGTGTGGCTCTGTCTGGGAAATGAAGAGAGGCTTCGAGGGAGGACGCAGCAGAGAAGGAGGTCCTGGAGAACAGTCTCGGCGAAGTGCCAGCCCTGCTGGAGGGCAGGGGACAGCCCAGAGAGGGCAACCGTGTCCCCCGAGGGCTTGGCCCATAGTGGGCAGACTGATGAGGCTAAAACCTGTCCTGAGTGCCGGGGGAACACAGGGAGGAGGGTGGGCCGGAGAGGCGCCCGCGGACTGCCAGGCAGTCCCGGAGCCCCTCCATGCGCCGGGCCCTGGGCTTGGTGTGAAGGCTCTTAAAGGCCAAGCTCAGGAACCTAGACCACACAGCAGGCAACGGGAGTCACGGGCATTTGGGGGGAGGACGAATGATTGGCCAGGACTGTATTTTGGAGACAGAGATGCTTCAGACCCCAAAACTTTCCCCCCACGACTGCCTCTGACGGCAACCATGGCTTAGCTGGGCAGCATGGGGAGCACGCAGGGACGGGGGCATTGATTCTCAGGAACAGCCGCCCTATATTCTGACCCACTTTCCTGGGTGTGAAAACAGCCATCAGGGGGCAGGAAGGCGCGAGGAGCAGGTGGCCGTGGCAGCGGAGAGGTTTCTAGGGCCCTTATCACACTCCCCCTGGCAGCAGAGTTATTTGTGCACAGGCGTGTCTGCTCTGCCAGGACCGAACAGCCCTCCCTGTGTCGGCACACCGCCTGCCTGTTTACGCACCGTTCGCGCACCTGCTTCTCAGGACTGCCGGGAGGGGGAAGGAAGCAGGAAGACAGAAACGTCACCCCCACTTCACAGGTCTGTGGAGCCTGCAGGATCACAGGGCGGCCTGCTTCATTTCCCAGATGGAGAAATCAAAACCCAAGGGAGGGAAGAGTTGGTGCTGGGGCCAGGAGACTCAGGCTCGCGCTGGTGTGCTGAGAGCCACAGAGAGGAGAGCCCCAGGCTCCTGGCGCCCCTGCCCGTCCTGGCTCAGATCCCTTGTGGCCCCTTGGGCCTCTGCAGGCTTCGCAGGGAGCGTGGTGGTGTGTGGCAGGTCTGAGGGGCACGGGTGGTGGATGGGGGTGGGGGTGCGGGGTAGGGTTCCTGGCCAAGTCAAGCTCTGGGCCTGTGGCTGCTGGGCGGACAGGGTTTCCTGCAGCTACCTGCTGCATTCATGGGTTCATTCTTCTGGCCATGATCCATAGTTGTAGAGAAGTTCAGGGGGTGCAGAGTGAGGAAGGGGGAGGGCCTCTAGGTGGACATGACAAAGGGGAGACTTTCTTAAAGGAGCATAACCTGTTTCCCGGTAACCCAAGAGACCGGAGACATGAGAGTCAAAAGCTAATAAACAGTTCACCAATGGGGCTGGCAGCTGGATCCCACGAGCCGCCCCGATGGCCCCTGACGCTCTCCGGCCTTCTCCGGTGTGGAGAGGCGGGGAGGGGAGGCTGCTGGCGGACGAAGCAGCCTGGACGCTGCAGCAAGCAGACCCTGCCCAAGGCCCGTGTGACCTAGGGCGGGGTTCGCATCCTCCCTGGGGCACGCCTGCCCTGGTCTGGAAAATTGGGTGATGTCTACCCCACTGGCTGGAGGCGTATATGAAAACTCAGTACAAAAAATAACAAAAGACTTGACACCTAGCAGACAATGGATAAAGGGAAGCCGACATTAGTGGTTCTATCATTGTTACTACCATCCTGATCCCCGCACCCTTTCCCCGTCCAGCTCTCTGCCCTCCCCCCCCTTTGTCAAATGTCCCTCAGGTGGACAGGCCTTGGCCTCAGGCGTGGGAGGAGGGGTTGATGATACCCCTACTGGAGACGGGGCAGTTTGTTTGAGTTGTCTGTCTCCCTGATAGTCTCAGATGAAAAACAACAGTTTTGGACGAAATGAAACTCCAATTCAGTCCGTCACATTCCAGGAATCACCAGGGACAAAACATCGGCTACTCTCTTTCTGTACCAGCTTTTCCTTCGTTTCTCCCAACTGCAATCCTCTCTGTCCTTCTTTCCCAGTGTCACCTCATCCAAGAAACCTTCCCTGCCTGCTTCAGCTTAAAGCGCCCTTGCCCTGACTCCTCTCACCTGCGGTGGGGGAGGCTTTACTCACTCCTTGTCCCCCACCTCCTTGCCTTCTCTCCTCCCTCCAACCATCTTTCCCACTTCCCTCCTCTCTTCTTCCTTTTGTTTGTCCAGTCTCTGGCCCTGGCACTGTTCCTACCTGCTGGAGCCCCTGTGCCCTGTCCCCATGGCACCTGTGCTCTGAAGCAGGGAGTCTCCACAAACGAGCAAAGCCTCCCTCAGACGCAGAGGGGCGGGTGGATGAGGTGATGTGCAATGTGCCCAGCTCAGCTCCGGGAGCACCAGGGCCACCGACAGGCCTGCACAGCTCCCCACTCCTGTCCTCCCGCCCGCACGCCCTCAGCATCCTCATGGGGCCTGCACGTCCACTCCTCAGTGGATGACCTTGGAAGTGAAACCTTGACAAACTCTGAAGAGCGGGGCCCCTCTTCCTTAAGTTGTTCATTTTCCTTGGAACGTAATGCTGAATAAATACTTGGACTAAATTAATAAACAAGAGCCAAACTCTGAGCTCAGAACTTGGAAGAATAGGACCCAGGCGGAGTGGGGAACCAGAGCGGGCAGGCAGCCTCACCGCGATGCTGAGACACGCGGGGGTGGGGGGAGGCAGACCTGCGTGCCCCCAGCAGGAGCCGGTGAGATGGCTGTGGCCCCAGACACACGCAGCCCAGGATGCTCCTGGCAGGGAGATCTGGTTCCGTTTTCTTTGCTTTGTTTGCCAATTTGAAAATACAAACTCTTAGGAATACAGAGTTATATGCTACATTAGAATGAGATGCTAGTTCAGAAGCATTATATCTTTCCCATTTTCACATGTCATGAAACATCAGAACGGATCAGAATGGTGGTGCATTTCCGACTCCACCTCAGCAGCCACTCGGGGGCTGTTGGGGCTGAGAGCCCTCTGCGGTCAGGGGCTCCGGTGGGACTGACAGCCGCGGCCTACGGTGGCAGCTCTTCCCTAAGAATAAAATGGGAGGGGAAATCAGTGCCTTACATTTAGCCAGACAAGGGGCCCTCACTGTGCTGGACTTAGCTCACGGGAGCCAGCTGCCGCCATCATGGGTTCTGCAGGCTGGTCGGTAAACACAGTCCTCGCCAGTGGCTCTAGGATGGGGGGGAATTTTCCCCCCAGGGACATTTGGCAATGCATGGAGACTCGGGGGCGAGGTGAGAAGGGGCCACTGGCGTCCAGCAGAGAGAGACCAGGGGCGCTGCCCACACCATACACAGGTCAGCACCCTCCTGGGCCCCAGTGAGGAACCCCCAGTCCGGATGTGAGCAGTGCTGACAGGGAGGAATCCTGATCTAAACTTGTAATTGAACAGATTGTATTAGAAACTCAAATCTTATCCCTTACCAATTATTTTACTAAATTTTACTGCGCGGACCTTGATCTGGTATAATTTACGTCCACTAGTCTGTGTGGTGGGAATGCTGTTTGACGTGTCCCCCGAGAACCTCCTCCCGCCTCCACGCTCAGCGACATCACGTCAGTCATGTGAAGTCCACGGTGGGAGAATTTACACCACAGACATTGGCAGATGCCACACCTTCAGCCCCCTTTTTTTCTGGAAGGCCAGCTGTTACCAGGACACCACTGGGCACGGCTCAGCGGCAGCTGCATGTGATGGGGAGCGAGAATCTGAACGTGGCCACGGGCACAAACATCTCATCCACACACACGCACCCCACACACCACACCCACCACACGCAGACCCCACAAACACACACCACACACATCCCATATGTACTTCACACCTTATACTACATGTATATCTACCATACACACACTTATACATACCACATACACACCACGCACATACATAGACACCACTCACACACCAAGTACACCCCACATACACACCCACACAACACACTCTACAACACACTTCTCACACCCAACCCCACATACCTACACCAGGCACATATCACACAAATACACACATGTTCCCACAGTAGCCCTCCAACTCCCAGAGGACTGACTCAAGCAATAAGAACATAGAAGAATGCCAGTCTGGCTGGCCACATTCTTGGATGTCTGAGCACCTTGCACCTTCACTGACTCCTCATCTGTGGCCCACCCTTCCCCACGCACCCCCACACCCAGCCTGCTGAGGGGGAGGTCTCCGCAACCCCCTGGGAGCAGCACCCAGTGACTCCATCTCAGCACCCAGGCCGCTCGCCCCCAGAGCCCTTGCTGGGTGGCCCCCTCCTGCTCTGCGCCCAGCTTTCTGCAGGCTCCGGAGCTGAGCCCGGCCGGCTGTGGCCTCCAAGGCCTGGCCTCCTCCCCTTCCCGGAGCCCATGACCAGCAGCTCCCTGGGTGACTCCACCCACCCGGCCACTTCAGCTGCTACCAGATGCTGGTAGGTCCACACCTCCGTCTCCAGCCAGACCCCCTCTGACTCCACACCCACTCGCCTTGGGACATCTGTACCAGTACATCCCCTGCCTTTTCAGACAAGTCGCAAACAGACTTCCTGTCTGCCCACATCTGCTCCCGCCCGCTGCTGGTGGCCAGCAGCGCATGGCCTCTGTCCCAGAGGTCAGCACGCATCAGTGCCCATCTCTGTTCTGTCAACCCTAGAAAGAGAGGAGGAGAACAAACTCTCTTATAAGGCAGAGAGGAAGTCTTACCCCATTTTATGTGTGACGGCCCTTGTCTTGGTGAAGTTAAGGGACCAGCCCAGGAGCAGCAGGCGAGGTGGGGGGCCGGGTGGGATGCAGGGGGCACTGGGAGAGCCAGAGCCAGGGGCTGTAGGCAGCAGCAGCCAGGCCTGGGCAGGCCCTGCAGGATCGGCTCTCCCCAACCCCAAGTGAGGGGGTTAGTTATAAAGGAAAGGAAAAGGCGTTCCTGATACGCGTCCTGTTTCCTCTCCTCCTCTGGGCTTCTCGGGCCTTGGAAGGCGGATGTCTCTGGGCTGGCAGCCCTCGGCCAGCGGGTGGACCAGCGGAGGGTGAGGGTCTCCGGGGCCCTCTCCTCCCCCACAGTCTGGCCTGCGTGGAGACAGGGGCTCCCTGAGTGGGCACTCAAGTCTCCCTTCCCAGCCTGGGAGAGCCTCCATCCTTTATTCCCAGTGGGCACTCAGCCCAGCTGGGCACCTCCTGCCCACCAGGCTGTCCCATAAAGACTCCTCCTCTGGAAATCTTCCATGTCATCCTTACTTGCCATGGGGGCTCCTCTGTAGCCCCCCTTCCTCCCGGCCCCACAGCAGCCAAACACACTGCTCTGTCCAGCTTTCTCCTACCTATTACTTATGGGCCTAGGCTCCCCATGAGTCAGGTGGGGCAGGGAAGGAGACAGGGAGGAGGGGGGCAAGGGCAAAAGCCATCCAATGGGGCTTCCTGAGTAAGAATTGACAAGGTGGGTCACCCCCATCAGACGGGGCCTTCCTGAGGAAGGAGGTCAGAGTTCCTCAACTGGATAAGGATTCCCTGGGGGAGGTGGCCATGACCCCTCCATCAGACAGGAGGCTTCTGCAGGACAAAGGTCATGCCTTCTTCCTCAGCCAAGGCGCTGCCAGAGGACAGCAGGGCTAGGTCCTCTCCCTCAGGGAGTCCCAGGGAACAGGAGCCACGCCCCTGTCAGGCAGGAGTCTCTCTCTTGGAGGATGAGGCCCTGCCTCCTCCTTCAGACAAGGGACTCCCAGAGGGGTGACCCCATCTGTCACTCCCCCCATAGTTCCCAGAGCAGACTTCTGAGTCTGACACTCGGAGAAGGGCTCCCCCTCGGGGCAGAACTAGGGGGACACTTGTCCACATCATCCCTTGTAGCAGGTCCCATTCACGCTACGGGGCCAGCTTCCCATTCATGCCCTCAGCTAAACTGAAGCCTCCCTGCCATCCTCACGAAAGCCATGTGTCTGAGCAGCAGCCAGTGGCTATCGGTTTGGGCCAGGGCCGCCAACTTCTCGAGAGACAGTGAGGTGAGCAACTGGGAGATCCCCAGCCAGAGGATGCCTGGGCCAGGCTGTGTACTTAGCTCTAGTCCAGGTGTGTCCAGGTGAATGGGTCTCTGCTCCTGGCTCAGCCACTAACTGGCCAAAACTCCTTACCCCCCACTCCCCAATCTCCCAACCCTGTCGACACCCACTTCTGGCTGCAGTGGTAGGAGACATCAGGGAGGAGGAAGGGCAAGGCCCTTCCCAGGTCCCTCCTCGGGGACATCCTGGCCTTCCCCAGGGGGCGGTCCCTGAGCCTGGTCTAAGCTGCCTCCACGATCACCTTCCCTACAGGCGCGCCAGCTCCAGGGAGCTGCTATTAGTTAGCATTGATCCACAAAGTGCTTTGCCTACACGTTTTATGAGCTGGGAGCTGGCAGCTGGGAGCCAGGGGTGGAGAGGAGTGAACCCAGGCCACCGGGCAGAGCAAGGGAGCAGCCGGGCCCCAGGTCAAGGCCCAGACATGCCCAGCACCCGCACTCAGTAGAGGTTAGCCGAACACATGTTTGCTGAAAAGCAACATGACCATATGTGGTAACTCGCTCTGGGTATGTTTTCTGATTAAGAAATGATAATAATAATAATAATAGTTATTATTATTATAATAACATGTTTGTGAAATGTTTAATACATGCAGGATACTATTCTGAACATTATATTAACTCATTTAATCCTCACAAGAATCCTGTAGGGGAGATATTCTTATTATCCCTACTTTACATATGAGAAAACAGACACAGAGAGGTTAAGTGACTTGTCCAAAGTCACAGAACAAAAAAAAAGAAATGTGCCATCTACTTGATTAATAAAAAGGATTAGATACTTTTGAAAGGCACGATGTATCCCAAGCGTCTTCCAAACTAAACACTTTCTTATCAGACAAACTGTGGGACGCCCAAGGTTCCCTGAATTAGCAGCACTGCCACGCAAGGCACGGGCTCATCAGTCACCTCACTATCACTGTGACCCTTTTATTGAGACTTTTAACTGAGTACCTTTGCTAAAATTTAGACTTATTTGTCACGGGCTAGGTACCTTATGTCATGTTTAAAATGGGGGGATAAGCCTTGACCAGCGTGGCTCAGTGCGTTGGGCATCATCCCACAAAACAAAAGATCATGGGTCGGATTCCCAGTCAGGGCACATGCCTGGGATGCGGGTTCAATCCCTGGTCAGGGTGCCAGCAAGAGGCAACCAATCGATGTTTCTCTCTTATGTCAACATCCCCCTCTCTCTCTTTCTCCCTCCTTTTCCCTCTCTCTAAAGATAAAATAAAATCTTTAAAAATAAAACGGGGACAACACAAGAGGTAAAGACATTATTCCCTTTATGGTGCCTTTAGGCTGAGGGTGACTATCTCATGTCCCCCCTCGGTGTCCGCACCCCCAGGGTGGGAGCGGCTCTGGGGCCGGGACCCTGCTGGTGCAGAGAAGCTGCATCATAAAGGAGTTCAGGGCTCAGGGTTGGGCAGGCCTGTCGCTTCCTCAGCCTGCAGTTCAGCTGTCTAGAGTGTTAAATGACGCTCTGTAAGTGGTGCAAATTTACAAGCCACCATCACAATACACAGGCCGGCTGGGTGGCCTTGGGCAGGTCCTGTCCCATTTATCCTTAGCTGGCTCACTGGCTCTCAGTGGGGGCGATGTCACCTCACAGGGGCCCGGGTGACTGAGAGGAGATAATGGGTATGAGGCGTCCCTGGGAGGCCGGAGTGCTGGGCGGAGACAAAGGCCTGCTATCAGGTCGAGGCTCGGTTACCAGGCATTTTTAAGAAATGCGTCTCCATTACTTCCAAGAACACACAGGCTTGCACATGAGGCGGTCACAGTGAAGTCGGCCAAGGGTGGCCATCCCACAGCAGCGAGCAGGGAGGGGCACCGTGGGGCACCTCCGCACCTCTGGCAAACCGTGCCTAGGCTTGGTAAGAGGCACCTCCACACTCACCCCGGACCTCCACTTGCCCCTCACCCCAGCCCTCTTCTTTTTCCCTGGGATGTTGTGGGAAACCTGCCAGGAGGAACGGCGCTGGCATTTCCCTTGTCCACCAGCCTGTCTGTGGCGACAACGTTGGAACCAGTCCCGGCCTAGATGCTCACGTTCTCCTCAGCCCCAAGGAGGCCACACAAATGGTGAGAGACGCAAGGAAGAGCCATAGAACCAGGGTCTGGCTCTGGCACTTAATGGCTCTTTGCCTCACCTGTCCTCACCTGGATAATGGGCTAACACAACCCCCCTCCAGGGTGTTGAGGGGGACGAACAAACTGAGGTCTGCCTGTGCCTGACACATAGTCCAAGTTCGATACATGGCAGGACCCGGCACTGAGAGGCACCAGCACTGCCAGGGCGAACAAGGCCATCCAGGCCCCACCGCATGTGGGTTAGAGTCCAGTGGAGAAAAGAGTTAAATAATCACACGAGAGAACACACAGCCAGGGGTGGAGAAGCCTTTGACCACCATGCCACACATCCCAACGTTTGTTCGGCACTCTCTCTGGGTTCAGTGGGCCGTGGGCACCGGAGCGTCGACCTCCGGGGGTGCTTGAGCTCGATGGATGGGACTGTGAAACACGCTCCGCAGGCCCGGGCAGCCCCGCCCTCAACATTCTCCCCGTCTCTGGCTCAGCTTTTACTCTCATCAGGAAGCCTCACACCAGCATGGCCCCCCTCGTGGTCTTGATTACCTGTCAGCAGGACGTCCCAGGAACAACCATGAACTTTCATATCAAAGAGAGGGAAGGGCCCTGTGCCTGGATGACTTGGCCGCAAGCTTTGAGCTGGGTCTCAGTGACTTTGACTGAGTTGGTCGTGGGGGCCTGCTCAGTCCAGCGGGTTACGCTGCCACACTTGGGGAACCTTGCCCAGATCAGACGCAGGGAGGCCAGCTCCCCATGCCTCCGCCGTTCTGCCTGCATCCTGCCACAGCCACAGTGACCCTGAGAAGCAGAAGGGACCGTGGTGAATGCACCGTCCTCGTGCAATGAGTGTGACAGACGCACACAACAGCTGCCCGGAGAAAGGCACCGTGAGAAGGGCTACAAAGAAGGTGACGGTAGGTCCAGGAGGAGGAGGCCCAGCTCTTCCCAGAGGGGCCGAGGCTGGCCGAGGAGGGAGTTACCGAGAACAGGGCTGCCTGAGCTGGGACCTGAGGAATGGTTAAGAGTTGGCCAGGTTGTCCAGGTGCGGGAGAGAGAACATTAAGTGACAAGTGACACGTGTATGCATGGAAATGCACATCTCTATACAGCAGAGTGTACCTTTCAAAGTCACTGCCTCAGAGATTCTCTCACATCCCATAATGGCCTTACCACCTGCCTCTGCCTCCGTCACACACGTGCAAATAAGGAAAGGGAGGCAGATGATGAGCCCCAGGGCGAACGGGGACTGACCGCTGTGCAGAAGGAAAGTGGGGATGGACCCTAGTGGAGCTGGTCCTCTTCCCCCTGAGGGTGGTGGGTATTTCTGTCAGGCAGAAATCCCTCACTTCCAGCCCCCCCCCCCGTCTGTGACATGCTCCTCCTGTCCCCGACACACATACACACTCCTCTGGGCCCCAGGGCTTCTCAGGAGGGGTGGCTGGCAGAAGGACTGAGCAGCATGGCTGGGGACAGACCACAAGGTAGAGGCCTAACCATTCCCTAAGGCCCAGCTTGGAGGCCCTGCCCGACCCTCTCACACTCATGCTGAGTTCTGACAACCTCCACCTCTCCCCCTGCAACTCTCTTCTCCTGGCCTCTCCTCTTCCCTTTACTCCCAGAGGCCGCTGCCAGCCTCTCTCTCTCCTCCCTCCACCCTTTGACCCTCCCCAGGGATCAGTGAGCTCAGCCTTTCCCATCAGCTATCC